TCTCCTGCAGGGTTAGGGGTAGGAGACGTTAATTTCCCACGCACGAGATTACTGTGTGGTGGATGTCCTCCCCTGGGGTGGGATGGGTGGGAATTGGCCCTGAAAAGCCCCTATGGGGAGTGGTCAAGTAACGTATGATGTATGTATTGGTCAAAAGATTGGCTTGCATGTTCACGTTGATTTTCGTCCAATCTGTAAACTATTGTTCAACGATTGGCGAGACAATTCATCATCTTAATTTCTATTGATTATATTCTTCTCAAAATATGAAAATCTATATTTCCTCGTCGTGAAAAGGAGTCAATTTAAACTGGTTTATAAAGCATTAATTTTCAACTTAAACAGTTTCTCTGGTGAAAGAGCCAGTGACCAGGCATTGGAGTTTTAAAATATATATCACTTCCTAACGGAAACAAACCCAGTCGATGGCACAAAGTAACGGATATAATTTAAGATGGCACTGTCCTAAACTCTTGCTTTGTGTATAAAAATAAATTCCTACCTTTTTTGTAAAGGATCTTTAATTTCCAGTTAAAAACAATTCATGCCGAGGATGAATTTAATTTTTTTTTTTTGTTTTTGGAAAATCTTTTCTCTTAGTATCATTCAGTTGTCAACTGTGAGCTACGATCGTCCGGGTGAGTAGCGGACTGGCCTGAGAAGAAGTCATCAGAGTGGAGCAAATGGCTGCCAGACCCAAAGAACGTTCGTCCGTTGATTACTGTTTTGATCAGTAGATAGAGTTAGTTTGTTTTTTTGGTCCGTTGGTGACCACGTAGGTTTTTTTCTAAGTCGTTTGTAAAGTGCCGATAGTTGCTGTAGCAAGCTAATTTTCCAAGTTAGTTCTTAAAGACAGCGTAAGTCGATAGTGTTGAGCAAAGTGATTTTGACGGAAAGAAACTATGCAAAACTAAACGAACTCGTCAAAACATTTGAATTTTGAATTCCACTGAGTTTTTTGTCCAGCCGAATTAATTTGTGAGAGTGCCATCTTAATATCACCTTTGTGCAACATTAACTAGGATAAAACTGTGAAATTCATTGTTACCCAGACAAAAATGAGCGATCCGACCTTCAAAATAGTTTTATATAGTGTCAGCATTTAGTAGCCAGAATTATATCAGTTTCAAGTTGTTTCTGTCTTTGATTCGTTGCAACGAAATTATCTGGGATAAATTGCACGCAAGCAAATGACATAATATTAAAAGAACACGATGTCGTGAGAACAGACAAAAAACAAATGGCGGAGCTTTTTAATAGTTATTTTGTCAACATCGCGGACGGCGTGCCAGAGATTACTGAACAGAGTTATGGAATAGAGTTGGATGCGCATCCTAGCATTCGGGCGATTTTCAACAACAGTGAACAGCTCGCTGTGAGAAACAAATTTGTTTTTCAATATACTAATAAAACCCAAGTGGAAGCTTTGTTACTCAAAATCAACTCCCGCAAATCCTGTGGTCATGACGTAATACCACCGCGACAGGTAAAAGAGTCTGCCAACGCGATTGCTGGTCCTATTACTGCAATAATGAATCACTCGATCAGGACAGGACAGTATCCGTCGCGCTGGAAATTAGGTCAAGTTACTCCTTTATTTAAAAAGGACGATGAACTGAACAAAAAGCAGTTATCGACCAGTGACCGTTCTACCTGCGCTCAATAATGTTTTCGAGTGGCTGCTTTCAGCTCAAATGGGCGACTTTTACCAAAACACATTGTCTGAATACGTATCTGCGTACAGAAGGCACCATAGCTGTGAAACATCTTTGCTAAGGCTGACTGAGGACTGTAAATTTTAGGTACTACTATGTGCCTAGGCTCTAGACTCTGATACTCGAAAAGAGCTCATTTGAAATACTGATAACATTAAGGTGGCCGAACACAGTTTTCGCGCGCGCTTTTGCTGATGCAATTCAGCGCGCGCACAAAGATTGCAAAAAACAAACATTTTGTCAATAGAGTTTATTTTATTTACTCAACGCGTATCCCCACTATCAGTGCTATTTTTCTTTATAGTTGGCGCAGTGTATTGAGGGCTTTAATCTTTCATTACAGACATGTTAGAAAAGTTAACAGTGCAAAGAACCCAGTAATTCTCAGCTTTTTCGTCGTTACCGAAATAACCCAGTTAAATGCAGCGCATGCGTAGGAAGTAAAAAAATTGCGATTGAATGGAAAATTGCTTTTTCGGAAATATGCCTATTTCTTGAGAACCACTCATTAGCATTTCACGAAATTTGGCACGAGAATACTTCACGAAATAAGTAACTGAAGTATTGAAAAAAAAACCATTTTTAACAAAGGACATTCTAGATAATCGAGTGAACCTTCAACAAAGAATAATTAAAGACCTCTCCGTTAATTTGTTAACAAAATGGTTTTAACTAGTGAGTATCGTTACAAGCTCGTTGCATGCAAATTATAAAGAAAATCTAATAACTAGATTTTCTGCAAATAAACAAAACCGATTTTAAAGTGCTGGTTATATTTATTCATGTCGCGATGGCAACGGCACCTCCGTCAGCTTAACTATCGAAAAAACGAAGTTTGTGTTGTAAACTTGCTTGCTGCCAGTTTCGGCGACCGAGAGATCAAGGGTTTTAGATAAAATGGTGAAAGAAACACAGGTATCAAAAACTGTGTTCAGCCACCTTAAAAGCAGTAGACCTCAGCAATGAATAAAGAAATATTTAAGGCCTTTATTCGAAATTGCGTGAATAAATGAAAATACCTAATATGAACCAGTTAAAGACGTTGTCATTCTATCACACAGGGAGAAAGTAACATGGACACTTAGTTACTTATTATTGACTGAGTGACCTGTCGCACGGCCTATCGAGCAGCAGTAATCGTAAGAGTTAAGAATGACAAGAGGTAAAAATTCGTCTTATCTCGAATGTGGAACAAAGAGACCAAAGTTCTTAGTCTTCATGAGGAATTGAACGTCAAACCCTCGCATTTCATGCTCCGTTGCCCGACCACTGAGCCACAGAGAATCCACGGAAAGTTTAGACATTACGAGGTCCATATTTTACACGCGTCCTGAATTCAGCATGCAACGTCGAAAGTGTCATACCATGAGTAAACAAAATAAGCTAGAAACAAGACGAATAAACATTTTTCCCTAACATTTTACCGAGCTTAAAATTTAACATCGTTCTGTGCCGCTCTAACCCATGGCAGTTTTATAAAAATCCATTCGCCCAGTTGCCTTGTCTAAGATGGTGGATTATGGCACATTAGCCTGTGGAACAAGCGCCATTTTATGTTTTTCAGGTGAGGAGAAGGAAGCGCGAACCATGTCAAGACCTGCGCGAGTGTAGGAGAGGGAAAAAAAATCTATACTTGCAGTCTAAAAAACTTAAATAAAATTGGCTCCTGCCTCACAGGATGGTGTCACGTCAACCTCAGGGAAAAAAGAAAACTTTAATTTAATATCTCCACCCATTCGTAGAATCTTTTAAACAAACCACACGAACAGAGGTGGCATGATCTCGTGAAGCATGCTTTAATAAGCCAATCAAATTCATTCGTAGAATGGTCCAAATAATTTAATTGGTCGAATAATACTAAAGCTGTCAAAATGTCAAAGTTCTCCAACTGAAATAGTTCAGCAGGTCCTAGTTCAACACTTTTGCCCGTGAAGGTGAAAGTATCAGTGAAATCCGCCCGAATTGTGGCTTATGAAAATGTGCAAGTTTTCGACTCGATAATTTGAAAATGAAATGCTCAAGGCTTGTGGTTTGTACTTAACACTTGTTGCGCCGTGTTTTGTGACTGAACGGAAGTTAAATTCACATGCTCGAGGTCATAGCGTCAGAAAAACTCAGCTGTGGTCTTCTACTCGAGCTGCGGATAGGATATTGAAACAAAGAAATACCATGAGGTAGCCCAAAGGAACCATTGATTCTAAAACCTTTGCAATGATATTATCAAGAAAGAATGCGATAACTGTCACAAGGACTTTGCCACAGCTTGACGCAGCCTTTTATGTTAGATACATCGTTGACGCAGAGTGGTCATTTCAAAACGGGGTTTTCAGTTCATATTATTCATTATTTAGGTTTGCGGCAGCTTAGCATAAATAAATAAAGGCTGATAGTTTCTAAAGAAACTGTTTGGGGCTGCGTCGGTGGGGGTAACGAAATAATTTGGATATATCAACAAAGTTGAAATGGTAAATTGGCCACCGTAACGATTACAAAAGCTGACGTTTCGAGCGTTAGCTCTTCGTCGGAGCGACGAACGAAGGGCTAACGCTCGAAACGTCAGCTTTTGTAATCGTTACGGTGGCCAATTTACCATTTCAACTTTGTTGATATATCTAAATTATTAGCATAAATAAGCTCTCAAAAAGTATATTAACGAAATGGCTAAAGTTTTGTTAATCAGCCCTTGTGATACCTAAGAGTGACTAGCATCTAATTTCTCCTTACAATGTCACCCCTGAATCAAACATAAAGGTCACGAGAATATAGAAAAATGATCACCAACTAAAGAAGAGCTTGATTGTTCAACAAATTCTCCTTGTTAGCACTCTGGCAAATGTATGGAAATCGGGATGGAGAATACGCATACTGATCAGTGGCACGAAGGGCTAAATCTCAACCTTTTATTTCCAGAGAGCACAATTACATTATGTAACATAAAAAAAGGAGAGAACTTCCACCTCCATGAGGTCGTGAATCGTTTTAAAAAGTAAACACTTTCCAAAGAGGACCTTCGCCCAGTAAAAATTTTACTTCTTAGTAAAGGCTACGAGGTAAAAGACACGAGACTCTACTTTAAGCGGACAAGCCGTTTAGTTCCGAGCAGTTATCTCATCTACACAGCCCGAAATTTCACAAAAAATTCGTGATCACCGTAGATAGAAGAGCTGGTTTTTCTAGGTACAAAATGAACTATTTGCAATATCTCAACATGATCAGAGACAAAACCGTAAAATACCCCACCACACCAAAGCCTGAACATGTTTTAAAGCTGTTTTGTTCTATAGAAGTTGTTCAAAGTACTAATCGTCGTCGTAAAGCGCTTTCAAAATACAAGTTAGTGATTACTTAAAGACTATGGTATTTCAGGTTTTCATTCAGTTACAAGTGGTTTTAGCTAAATATGTTATGCTGGTGTGAATAGGGTTTTAGACGCATTCTCGCAGAAATATCATTTTTTTTCCCAACACTACTTACATCTTTGTACACTTACTAACATGAAAACTATACATTTTAGGCAATGAAAAGGTTTCCGGAGTTTGCACTGGAAACCCTTGCAACATCCATGAAAAGAAGGTGAAAAGGAAACTTTTTCTCAGGAACATCACTTCCAAAGTGGTAAATCCTTTCAAGCACTTGTTAAAGGAAATGGCGCTCTCAGCAGATCGTTGCATAGCTGTCCACACATATTCTGTTAAACGCGATGAGAAAGTTAACCGGATTACTTGAGTCCTTATTTACCACGAAGTCCAAAATTCAGTGCGATATCTACACCTTGAAGGTTGCGCCAACCGATCGGTTTCGTGACGCGAGAAATACAATCTGGTTACGTTTCCCAAAGGTAGTCCTCCAAGGCTTGATCAAAACTGACATTACTGGGTATCACGCCCTTTACTTTTTCTCGGTTAAAGTTCCTTCTGGGTTCGGTCCGCGGTTTGCGCATAGTTATTGATGTTCTAATGGGTGTAGATCTTTTTCTATTTTGAACTACACGTAAAAATCCTTTAGGCTTATCTCGAAAGTGTCTTCTTATTTCGCTAAATGATCTTCCCTCGCTCAAGGGCGTCTTAAGGTTGGACGGGGTACTTGAGTGTTTCGGGCCCGCAGTATCTGTGGAAAGCGGTACGAGTATGGTGATAAAATGTTTGCCTAAAAGTTTCACGAAATAAATATTGTAATCCATAAATTATCAACACCCACACACAGTCCGAGATGTTCGCACCAAACCAGATGCTAAACTGACCACAAATCAGGTGCAAACTGACTATGGAAAAAGCACAGAGCATGACAAACTAGCCACCGAATATAAAGAAAGCTGCACCGCTAAAATTGATCCAAGCACCGAGTATAAAGCGGTTAGCAGTGAGTACAATGGCTTTCACACCAGGTATAATGTGGAAAGTACCAAGTACCTTAGATAAAGAGCCGAGTATAAGGTGACTGGCACCGATTATAGCCACCAGAACACCGAATATCATGATACAAGCACCGAAGATGATAAGAAAAGCACCACGGATAAGAAAACAAAATATCATAAGACAGTTATGGCGTTCCATAGATGAAGTTAATGACTGGCTGGTACTTACCATCTAATGCTAGGTCCAAAAGAGAAAACAGCGTCTTGGATTTTTTCTTTCCAGTACCTGTTTAATATGAACAAAGATATCTACTAGAAAATCGCAAAGTTTCACAACTATTTACTCAGTTAAACCCCTTTCGTTTCCGAAAAATGTATCCAAACTGTGGGCAAAAGCGAGGGGGAAGAGCCCTTGGGCCCGTTTTACGAAAGTCCCGGTAACTTAACGGGCCCGAAGCCATGTTTCAAAATCAAAATTTAAAGGATAGAAGAGCAGGGTCTGGCACCCAAACCAGTCCATTTTGTTTCTTAACCTGATAGTTTTATTGTATCATTTTCAAAATTTTTGAAATCTCCATCTTGAATGAAAATAGAACAGCTTAACGGGCCCGTTAAATTACCGGGACCTTCAAGAAACGGGCTACAGGCTTAATACCGTTTTTCCATAGGCGGCTGCCGAAAGTGTGTGACGGGACCGTAGAACGAAACCTTGACACGAGAGCCTGGTCGCAGGCTACACAGACGACCGTACGAAGTCTGACAGGCTGTGTTAGACCGCTGGTAACTGACTTTTATTGAAACCCCTGGACCGTGAAACAATTCACAAGCTCTGCACCATAATCATAAAGAATTTCTCCGAATAGAACCAAAGGTACAAACCAAGTCGAGTATTGTCGAGCAAAAGTGAAAAGTAAATGTTCACTAGGAGTTTCATTGACTACACCAGCTTACCTTGATCAGCTGCAGCCTTAACGCTGGCTTTGTCTTTCTTTTTTTGGGACCCAGTTGATTCCGTCACCGAATGGCTTTCTTCTGTCGCACGTGGATGACTCGGTTTGAACACAGTACGTAAATTTTCACTGTAGCCGCTGTCATCGAGCGATTCAGCTTTTCCAAGATTTAAAAGTGCCGGTATCCTTTCAGTTTCACTTTCTCCTTTCTTTTCCCTACTTTTCCTCTTTTCTTCGGTTTTCCTCTTTTTCTTTTTCTCTATGTGATCAACATGATTTCCTTCTCCGTCATTACCGTGAGAAAGTTTCCTTTTCTTATCCTTCCCTTTTTTGTCTTCCTCTTCTCGTTCATCTTCACAAAAACGAGCAATGGTTTCCTCCGCCACTCCCTTTGATGCTATTACACCATTATCACAACTTCCTTGATAACCATCTTTCACAAAGTCATCTCTATCTTCATCCATTCTTTCGTTTTCGGTCTCCTTCTTCTTCTTACGTTTAGATTTCTTTTCATTACGACGTTGTTCCACATCTTTTGACGTTGATTTCGTGAACGCTGCTGTTTCATCAATGGCATTTACCAACCCATTAACACTTACCAAGACATCTTCGGATTGCTCCTCTCCAGACTCCTGTGTGACATAAAGTTTCCCACTATTTTTTTCTGTTTTCTTTGAAACCAGGTTTTTATCACTTACAAACTGTTCAACAGAGCTTTCCACGGGGTTCTCTTCGTTAAACTTTAATCTTTTCTTCTTCCTTTTTCTTGGTTCGTTATTTGCAATGCAATCCCGTATGACTAAAGTACTTTCCACGTCTCCTTCAATAGTTTCACCTGCCACTGATGCATGATCATCAACATATTTTATAGCAGCATTTTTCACTAACTCGCATTTATTCCTTTCTTTCCGCTTCTTTTTGTGCTTAGTTTTCTTTTCATTTGGTTTCTTTGTGAGCAATTCAGGTTGCACAGTTTCCTCCACTAAGGTATTCTCAGAGTTGTTTACTTGATCGCCTACACGTTCTTGATGAACAATTGTTGCCAATTGATCATTATTCATTTCCAGTTTTCCCTCGTTCTTTTTGGTTTTCTTTCTTGCTGAAAGTTCTCCTTCCCCGTTTTCTTCAGCTGTGTTACCTGATATTAGTACCGAATCACCCAAATCTTGAGTAACATTTTTTTGTGGTGCATCTTCTTTCGTTTTTGTTCCGTTTTGTCGTTCACCTGTGTTTGCAGCTGAATCTATTGTGACCACTTCTTCTTCATTGCCACAATCCACACCACCTCCATCGACATTTTTCACCAATGCATCAACATTCCCCATGAATTTTTTCCCTCTTTCATTTTCCAGTCCAAGGTTAGTACACTCCTCAGCTGTTTCATTCCTGACAAACGTATCCACGTCTTCAACGGACATATCTTCAACACCTTTATCTCCACTTTTCTTTTGTTCAAAATTCGACGTCTTTTCAGTAGGGTTCTGTGTAACGACTTCAAGTTCTACATTTTCCTTTCTCACTTCGTTAGTAGAGGCTACTTTACTGTATTCTTCGTAAGATTTCATAGCTGTGTCATAGCTGAAATTCTCAGCTTCATTTCCACTATTCCCATGTTCAACATTAAACGTCTCTTCAACAGCATTCTGTGAGTCAAGTTCTACATTTTCCGCTCTCATTTCGTCACACTCTTCACTAGCATTTTGCGTCACGAATGCACGTTGCACATTTCCATCTACCACTCTATTCAGCGCGTCTTTGGAGCCTTCCATTTTCCCATTTGCACGCTCTCCATTAATCGTATCCATCAATTGAAAATCATCCCCTTTCAGTCCGGCCTGTTTTTCATTCTTGTCGCCCTCCTTTTCAGTGAAATCTTCTATAACTTGTTCCTGATCCCCAGTTTCGTCAACCATTATATTTGAAGCAACAACCCCATCATTACAATTCTCTGTACGAACAGTCTCCACAAAGTCATCTTCACATTCTTCCTCTCTTTTGTTTTCCGTTACTCTTTCTTTGTTCCGTTCAGATTGCTTTTCATCACTATCCTGTGTGACACTTTCAAGTTCCACATCGTTTCCCATTGATCTCTTGGACTGTTGAATCACTGTTTCATTACCTTCAAACATCAATTCTAATACATCTTTTATCGCCCCGTAACCAATAGACCTTTGAACACCGGGACCATGTTCATCATCCTCTTCTTCCTCTTTTTGTTTTGATTTCTCTTCGGAGGATTTCTCCGCGACAAATTCGTGATCAACACTGTTTCCTTCTTCCACTACATTATTTGAGTCCACAGTTCTAACTTCTTGGTTTCTCTTTCCCTCCAAAAAAGCGATAATGTCTTCTTCTTCCCCTTCTTGTTCCGCAGTAGTTTTAGTGACTGTGTTTCTTTCTTTTAAAAACACTATCGGGCCTTCCGGTAAAATTTTTATTGGCGCTAAACATCCTGGTATAATTTTGCAGTTTTCTATCAACAAAGAAATTAATAGATACACACATGTTAACGAAAACGATGGAAATAATAATAATTAAAAATTTTTTCAATTTCTATAGCGCATTTACCATGTAATGATCTAGTACGCTTTACAACACTGTGCGGGGGACTTTTCCAGACTGCCAGTGGCAGTTTACAATCAACAAAGGAGAAATTTTACAGATGCCCCCTCCCCCCAATTCCCAGTAAACTGGCCAGACCACCTCACAGTAATCTCGTGATGTGGGTTCTTTAACGTCCCCTGCCTAACAAATTAACTAATTGATAGATGCAAGAGACGGGAACTCCGGCTTTACGTCTTATCCAAGAAGACGAAGCAATGTGAGTGAAGCGTCTTGCTTAAGGACACAACGTCAAGACCCAGCCAGGACTTGAACCCGGGTCGTCTGATCCAGAATCCAGCGCACTGACCACTGGACTACTCACGCCTCAAATCAATTAATTTTACCACTGTTGTCGTGCTAGAGGGGTAGTTTTTCACTTTCTATCGGAACATCCAACGATCTGAGTCATTAGTGAAAGTAGGCGCTGCCGTAAGGTTTACAATGAGATAAAAAACTGTGCGAAGAAAATTTTGGAAGGCTGACCAAGCCGAGCGGTTACGTCCATAAAATAGTCTGAATTTCAGCCGTCTCTTGCCTTTACCCCAAGGGGGGCGCGGGAGAGAGACGTCTGAATTCCGAGCGTTATAATGTCGTCCGGTGACGTCACTCACTAATGTATGCATTTGCATAAATTAAATTTTTTAAACAAGATGGCGGCCACGAGTCATGGAAACATAACCGGACAGATGCCTACGTATGAGGTGTTTTGTGTTTTGTGTGCCGTGAAACTTGACGATAAAGCATCCAGAATAAATGTAAGGGGTCGCTCTTTATTTCCAATTGAAACTGAATTAAGGAAGTTGCCACTAAAGCTTGCAATCGACGATAACACTCGTTTGTCTTTTCCCTGTCTGCGCAAGCTAAAGAAGAAAAAGTCCTTAGAGGAAAATTTCGCCGCTGCATCGAAAGAGATTGTGCGAAATTACGGAATAGATATGAAACCCGCGGACTTTGTGCCTTCATTTGATAGCACATCTACGAAATCGGCGCAAACATCGATCGTTGGACCTACCACTTGTACTTCTTCAGCTCCACGAACGGACGAACAGGAAAATTGTGAGTGACAGTAGTGAAGCCTTAATTCCTCTTTGTTGAAGACTTTTAACTTGATCTTTAATCAAAGATACCAAAGGTGAAATCACCAACACGATGCCACTTCGAATATTGCCATTCTGATAATGCCTTATCGACATCTCTTCCGCAACTAGAGGTGAGAGTTGATATATTAGACTTTTGCCAAAGCCCATGGGGAAGATTGACAAAAACATCCTTTCTAGAAAGAAGATAGAACAAAGCTTTCTTCTGTTCATTCTTCAACTCTGTTAAGCCAAAAGGCGGTAAAACACTCTGCAAACTTGTCTCGAATAATGCTTTAAAATCGTCCCGCGTGTCCGCCGCCACTGTTTACACTTCTTGGAATCATCCTTGGCGCGTTTAACCAATAATAAAAGGTTATCCAATTCAAACCAATCAAAAACTACCAAACATATCCAAATTAGTAAGTGACGTCACCGGACGACATTATAACGCTCGGAATTCGGAAGTCTCTCTCCCGCGCCCCCCTTGGGGTAAAGGCAAGAGACAGCTGAAATTCAGACTATCTATAAACGGTTTGCTCATATCACCAGCAAAATGTTTTACCTTGTCTGGATTTTTTACCAGCACGTATACTGTACCCTTCCATTTTTGTCAAAGCATTGGATTATGTGCAAAACTTCTTTTTAAAAATAGCTTAAAATTTGTGAGTTTAAGAATGACCTTGAAGGCAACAGTTAACTAAAGAGAACTCGTAACCATATTCCTCACTTTACTTACAATCCTTTGATCTGAGATCTAAGCCACAAGAAGAAAAAAACTGCTAAAAGGGCTCTTATTCACGGTTAAAGCGTAAATTTTTAACTTAAACAGCTTAAAGCAGCGGACGAAAAGTATCCATCATGTTTCTCTCATATTTTGGGCACATACCATCATCTTCTTTCTCATCCGTCGGAGCAAAGTCATTTTCACTCTGAGACGTCCTATTTACAAGACTTGAAATTAACTCACCAACGACTCTGGGCCTTCCATTGCCCAAAGAAACAGGCAGCTTGTAGATTTTAACCCGACACGTCTGCAACTCGACATCTTTCCCAGGAAAGCGCACCATTCTCTCAGTTGGGGGTCTTTCCTTGCAATCAACATCCACCATGCAGCAACCACTGCTCTCATTATCTTCATTTTCGAGAGAGCTACCCTCTTCCTCCTCCTCATCATCATCATCATCATCACCATCATCATCACCATCATCCGAATCCCCACCGTCATCTCTCTTTATGGCCACTGTGGCTGGTTCTTCGTCAACTCTATTCTCCTCTGAAACTTCAGGAAGACATTTCTGATTAGTAAATAAAACACTGCCCACCCACCATCACTTTCAATTCTGGAACAAGAAATGCAAAAATCATGTCAGAAAATTTACCCTTAAAGGTGGAGGAATTTTTAATTAAGTGTCGAAAGCAATCCGGGATTCCATCGGTTAAGCTTCACTTCTCTCTCTGATTGGTTCAGAAAACTCGCACCACTTTCTCGACCAATCAGATACAAAACCAAAACCAATCATGACTTGGTCGCCTGTGTTTTCCCGCGCATGAAGCAGTTTGGTTGTTTTTTCTTTAAGTTCTCATTGGCTCCAAAAAGTCTTTTCCTTTCTTGTGATGGGTTGCCGCAATTGCTTTGGTTTTTGTTTTACCGAAAAAGCTTTCTACAGTACTGGCCGCAGGAATGGCAGCACCTACACGCGCGTAAAATGCGTGCAAGATGACGGATTTACGCGCAATTTACGCGCGCGTAAAATTTTACACGAACTACCACAAACTATACAAAATCTCTTTCAAATTTACCCAAAATTCATTTCATTATGATTCTTAACCCTTTAACTCCCATGAGTGAAATTTCTCCTAACAATATCAAGCAGACAAGTGATGAGAATAACGGAAAAAAAAACAATCAGGGGATTATTAGTTGATCCAATACCAAATTCTCCAAAATAACATCAGAAGAATTATATGGCAGACAGTAAAGAGAATTACTTAAACGATCTTGGAAATGAAAAGGTTACTTACCATAAAGTAATATTGCAGAATCATTGATTAAGATCATAAGAATAAAGGAAACTATTGCCAACCTCAGTATGAAGCGTTATTAGGGTCAAAATTAGAAAACAGATTATGTTATGGTGTTTGATATTTCATTTGGCCAAACTACTGAATTATGTTCCAGCGTTGCATGGAATTATGTTCGGCTCTTTTAAATTGAATAATTGTGATACGATTTTTGTTATTACGTAGCTCTGAATTACATTCGGACGCTGCCAAATTATGTTTTGATTGTCTAAATTGTATTTTTCACTTTCGATTTTTATCCTCCCTGCCGCCGAATTTTGATTTTCGATATTTACATTCGGCCGAACTACAGAATTATGTTCCAGCGTTGCATGGAATTATGTTTGACTCTTTTAACATCAATAATTGTGATACGATTTCTGTTACTACGTAGCTCTCAATTATATTCGGACGCTGCCGAACAATTTTTTTGTCTAAATTATATTTTCCATTTTCGACTTTTATCTTCCCTGCCGCCGAATTTTTACATTCTGTTGTTCGATATGACCCGCTAAATTATGTTTTCGATCTTCTCTGAATTATGTTCGGCTGATGGACTGGGCATCGCAGTAAGAAAGCAACGAGAAACCCTGGGACGGGAAAAACTCCCGCCTTTTGTGATTTATATTTAACAATTATTCGCCGAAGGCGCGCTGAATATCGTCGAGTAATCCCCGAGACGAAGTCGAGGGGATTATTCGACAATATTCACCGAACCTGAGGCGAATAATTGTTTTAGGATAATTTTAGAGCTGAACAACAGAGAAATTTCTAAAATCATCACATTTTAGTAACATTTATTAACATTTTATTTTAACATTTTATATAAACCGCGTGGAGCGGTTTATATAGCGTCATAGATGGAAACCGCTCGACCAATCAGATTGCTGGAAACCCTTTGCTCAGCTCTGAAATTATACTAATCATAATTACCAAGTCCGACGTCTTGGTTTATATGGAAATGGCGGAGGAAGGTAGAAAGAGGGACCATGAAGAAGCTGAAGATGGAGAGAAGGCGAACAAAAGTCAGAAGGCAATAAGGCTTCTGAGAGAAGTCACGACTTTGTTGACCGAGTCGGTTAACGAGGGGGAAGCGAAGGAGTCCCGTGAAGAACTACAGCGAGTGAGTAAAATCCTCGAACGCCAATCTAGACGACTTTCGTAACATTTTCATCCCATACAAGATATCTCCTGCCGTCCTCACGTCCACTTTCCAACAGCCAAACCATCGGTCGTCCAAACAAAAGCAACGTGGAGTGTTCTTCCAACCCAAAGAAACTTGGA